ACCACACCACACTACATTTATTACACCACACCACACCACACCACACCACCCCACACCACACCACACTACATTTATTACACCACACCACACCACACCACACCACACCACACCACCCCACACCACACCACACCACATATAGCAATGCTTCAGTTATTCTACTACAATACCTCCTTTGGTATTCTGGTTTTCTTTCCACGGAGGATTTGACGCTCTCGCTCCACCTCCYAACAGAGCTGAAAACCTCAAAACATGRCCAGTAAAGATTGGAATCAGCTTGATCGTATCGTAACAGACAGCAAATTGAGCTGTTGGTGGGCTTACACTATAACATAGCTCAGTCCCACCATTACATTGTACACTACTACTGAGTACACCTGGTCTCCAGCCATTGAAGAGACAAGTGTTGATGTCAAAAGCATATGCATTTCGATTGGCTTTCATCGTGACTGTTTTTCTATCAGTATCATCAGCCTTGGGATCTGTCTTGTTTGAACYCTCGTCGTCAAAGAGACAGCTATGCACGAATCTAGCATACGCGTCTGTGCTTCTTGCGGTAGGGTAATATGGATGGAGGACTTCCTGCGATGCTGTTATCAAAATATATTTCCAAAATTACTATTCGTCTTAATCAGAAGGTCAATGATTGGAGCGATAGGGCGAGCAAGTAAACAAATAAACGAGTTTGCCGTGTACTGACTTAGAGGTTGTTTCAAGGTTTAATCTGAGAGTTAGCCATGCCCTGACACAGATCAGCCCAGAGGTTGTTTCAGGGTTCTATCTGTGAGTTAGTCATGCCCTGACACAGATCAGCCCAGAGGTTGTTTCAGGGTTCTATCTGTGAGTTAGCCATGCCCTGCCTTAGATCAGCCCAGAGGTTGTTTCAGGCTTTTTGCGAAAATTAGCTTTGAAGAATTTGTTTTATAGATCGATTGAAAATTCTTTTCTATAAATACAAAAAAGGAAAAAAAAAGATTTTGGTCGGACATACTAACCCTTCCTCAGTGCCCT